CTCTCCTGATCACCTTTCTTTTTTTCTCTCTCTCTCTCTCTCTCTCTCTCTCTCTCTCTCTCTCTCTCTCTCTCTCTCTCCCTTCCTCCCTCCCTCCCTCCCCCTTTCTCTCTCTCACTCTCTCACACATACACATAAACACACGATTTTAAGTCAAGAATCCACATATGAGAAAAAAATGTGACAATTGTCTGAGTCTGGCTTCATTCGATTAACACAATAATCTCCAGTTCCAATCATTTTCCAGAAAAAAATTAAAAACAATGACACAGCAAGTATTTTACCCACTGAATCATCTCTGCAGACTGGAAATGATATTTTCAAGACAGTGATATGCCACTCAATGGAATGAAATAGACTCTAGACCTTATTAGGAAGATACGGACATTGAGTCTCCATATACAATCCAAGGGACAGGACATACCTGCAGAACAGTATCTAGAAAGTTCAGCACTCTGTCCTAACTTTAAGCGTCTCCCATGACCCATCAGTCATACATGATACAGAAAGGGTGCATAAAAAATATTCATAACCCCAAGTCCTTCCTCCAGGAGCACCAATCTGCATCTTTCTGCCTTGAAATAAAAGTTTCTGCAGTGTAACACACAGCATGGGTTGACTTGGTAGTCTCATTGACCACAGTACCCTTGTAGGTTGGACCTGAATAGCCATTCATTAGCAGAAAGAAGAGATAAATGGTGATGTATTCACAGGTTTGTGAAACAGCAGGAAACAGTGGAGATATTCTGAACATATAACATAATTGAGTGATTAATGATGATATTTCTGCAAGGTTTTAGTGGGACTTGGAGCAGGAGGAGGACCAGTTTGCTCACATATTTTTTTACTTTGTGATGGGGGAGAGTCTTCTGTTTAGTGTTACTTTCATTGGTTAAATAAAGAAACTGCCTTGGCCCTTTGATAGGACAGAAAATTAGGTAGGTGGAGAAAACAGAACAGAATGCTGGGAGAAAGAAGCCGAGTCAGTCAGTCGCCATGATTCTCGCACCGGACACAGACGCAGGTTAAGATCTTTCCTTCATGGTGGTACACAGATTATTAGAAATGGGTTAATATAGATGTGAGAGCTAGCCAGTAAGAGGCTAGAGCTAATGGGCCAGGCAGTGATGAAAAGAATGCAGTTTCCGTGTAATTATTTCTGGTGTCAAGCTAGCCGGGTGGTGGGACGCAGCCCGCCGCCGCTTCTTTCAACAACTTTGAAATCATTCAATTAGGGAAAAAGAATTAAGATGGACAGTTTGTAACATGTTCATAAACTTGAACCCTATACTTTATGGATAAAATAAAATCTCATTACAAGTTACTGCATATTTTCCATTTATTTGGATTACATTTGGAGAGGCAGTTTTTACATGATAGCTTCAAACCAACATTAACCAAATTTTACACGAGCCATTTGAAAAAAGATCTAAAAATGTGCTTAGTTATTGGTATTATATAACATTTATCAAGCACCAAGAGTGTGCTGAGAGCTGTACAGAACAAACATAGAAAGACACCATCCCTGCCTTCAAGGAAACCCATCTCTTTAGGGGCTTCACATAAAACTGTGCCTTGCATTTCACACTCTGTTGTTCATAAGGCATAAATAAGGAAGGTTGTTGCATTTCTCACTATTACTTAATAAATATTTCATACTCTTCAGTTATACCAACAGTTTCTCAAATCTTTTCCTTAAAATACAAATTTCTGTAGTACAATATACAGTATATAATGATTTGGTATTCACACAATTGATCACAATATTCTTGTAGGTTGGTTATATTAATAATAGGAAGCATGTTGAATTCCAACATTTATAAATTTTCATACCATTAAACCATTAGCATAGGGGTTTTGTGCAATAATATAAACAAATAAAGTGTCACAAGGAATTAAGACAATGGCAACAATAGTACAGATATTCAGAACACTGATTGTTTTTTTTATCATATCTATTAAGCTAGCCTTGCAATGTATTATTCACATGGCTGCATGCCCTAAAGTAACATGTAATTTATGATTAGCTGACAGCAGATGATGTGTGATTGGCTTCATTTTATCAGTAGTTTAAACAAGGAAATGCTAGAATAAAATGCCTGATAGCAGAGAGTTGAAAAGTTCTTTTGATTAGTGATTGCTTTTCTGCAAGGCTGTGTTCAAAACAAATCCAGACTAGTAAAAAGGATGAAATTATTCTAAATTCCATCACTGTATAGAGACATTTGATTGCAAAATAATCCCTTTAATGGTAAAGTCATCTGATTAATGTTATAAATAAAAAAAAAAAAAAAAAGAAAAAAACCAACAAAAATGAAATGAATTTGTAACATGAAGTGACTTAAGCTTTGGGTACAAAATATATACTTTCTATAAAAATTATAGAGCGAAATTATGACAGTACAGAAGGTCAATCAGTTACCTTCACCTTGGGAGGGGACATTGCAACAGGAGAGGAGGGGAACATATTATACAAAGGGATGCATACTTTTCTGTCAAGTAATCTATCTTACTTCATTATGAAAATTGAGTGGTTGGGTGAACTAGGGTGAGTCTGGGATCTAAGAAAAGCAAGTTTGGGGTCAAAGAGAAAGAGATATAACTATAAACATAATCTTTTATGAATTCTAAGACTCCAGGCATTCCTGAGCTCATAGATATGACAGCAGCCTCCGTACTATCTGCCTGAGGATGGCCACTTTCCAGAGAAAACCTCCTTCCTTACTTTCCCCTTCATGATCTGACTCCTGGTTTATTATCAGGTCTAGATGCTTTCATTATGTGACAACATTGAGTTGGACTTATACTGGACTTAGAACAAGATTGGGTTTCTTTGGTTACCTCCCCAGAAATGAAAAATGTATTAGAAAATTCTATAGAGTTCTTTCACCTCTATGCTTGAATTATGTTTATAGTCATGCCCTCCCTAGGTAGCTAGGTACATGATCCACATAGGGCCCATTAGAAATAGATTTGTCCTAGTACACTGTCAGTGGATGAAGTGTGACTGGCTTCATTTTATCAGTGGTTTTATAGAGGGGGTGATATCTGGCCTCCATAATCCCACCTGTCAAATGGAGGAGTTGGGTTGGGATTTGACATAAAAAAAATTGAGGCAGGGTTTCTCTGTGTTGCTTTGGAGACTGTCATACTGGAACTCACTCTGTAGACCAGGCTGGCCTTGAACTCATAGAGACCCACATGCCTTTGCCTCCCAAGTGTTGGGAATAAAGGTGTGTGCTAATGCCAAGTTCGACAAGATTTTTATTACCTAGGAGAGTACATCTCTGCTGTTCTAAAGTCACAGATCAAGAAGTTGAAGGCTGAAGCTGCTATCTCTGACTCTCTGACAGTTTAGTTTGTGTTGTGGGGCAGAATGGTGACATACAGAGTCATTGTTCACAAAAAGGAGGTGGAAAAGGGACTCCAAAGGATGTAATCTAGTATATCCTCTTTGGAGTAAAAGAGACAATCTTATTTGAAGTGCCCAATCCAAAACAGAGCACCAAAAGACTAAAATTCTGACAACAGACATGTATTTATGCATGCATATATGTATGTACGTATGTGTGTGTGTATGTATTCATTTTCATTGCCAAGTCCTATTTCATTCTAAGGCTTAAGTTTCATTCACCTCATTGAAGATCCACTAGTAAACATAACATATCAATAGAAATAGATATCATGAAGACCTCTAATCCATTTGTCATCTGTTAGCATCCTAAAGTGCATTGTCTACCCTTCACTAGTGACAACAGGATCCAGTGCAGCAAGCTCAGCATCATTTGGAATTATTTAGAATGGATGCTGGACTCCTATTGCTTTAGAAATTAGAAGGCGTCTCAGATTCCCCTAGCAGAAAGTGTACATACTTTCCAAAGTGATTATACTTACCACCACAATGTGTCTATGCCAGTTTGTTATCAAATCAATTTAAGGTTTCTAGATTCTGTCCATCGTTTTTCTTTAGATTGTTGTAAGACATTAGACATAGATGTTGATAAGGAGCCTTTCCGCCAGTTATTGTCAAAGCACCAATCAGGTGGAAACAGAGATCAAATTCTAATAAAATTGCAACAGTTTCTTGTACACTTGGAAAAGTCTTGCTCTCAATTTACTTAGCAGAGAAGACAACAAACAAAAATCAGATACTTAGACATGTAGATAGATAGATAGATAGATAGATAGATAGATAGATAGATAGATGATTAAATAGATTCTATTTTTTGCGCTGCTGACAAATATTCAAAACTCTGGAGCAGATGTTGTAGTTGAGGAGACCTTAGTGCCTTTATCAGGTTATCAAATAAACATTCTATTAAAAGTCATTGAAAATGGTTGGTACCAGTGATGGACGGAAACCATGGTTTAACGTTAGAATGTCAAAGTGTCACCATTGTCTCTGCTCTTCAAGGCACAAGGACAAGTTCCAAACTCTTCAAAGTAGAGCATCGTGATGTGGGAGTGATTTCTTATTAATAAAGAAACTGCCTCGGCCCTCATAGGACAGAAAATTAGGTAGGCGGAGTAGACAGAAGAGAATGCTGGGAAAAAGAAGCTGAGTCAGGGAGTCGCCATGATTCTCCCGCTCCAGACAGACGCAGGTTAAGATCCTCCCTGGTAAGTCAGCTCGTGGGCTACACAGAATATTAGAAATGGGTTAGAACAATATGTAAGAGCTAGCCAATAAGAAGCTGGAACTAGCCGGGCCAGGCAGTGTTTGAAAGAATACAGTTTCCGTGTAATTATTTCGGGCATAAGCTAGCCATGCGGGCGGCCGGGTGCCGGGACGCAGCCCTGCCGCTCCTATTTCAACAGCATCGGGTACCACCAAGAGTTAGAAAATCAAGGAACAGAGCCACATGCCAGAGCAAGAACAGGTCATCCTTTGGGCTGTCAGTGACCATCAGATGTTGAACATACCCCAGCAGGAAAGCCTCCCCATATCATGATGGGGACAATAGATATGTGGCCTACTCATTCTGCAAAAAAAAAAAAAAAAAAAAAAAAAAAAAAAAGAACACCGTATATCATGCTCGGTGTGGAAGTACGGCTCCTTGCTACCTGGGCCCAAGGAGAGGGTTTAGAATATCGCTATGAAGAAATGCAGGAATTCAGAAGTTCTACACTGGCAATGGCAGAAGGGCAAGGAGGAAGTCAGTAGCCCTTGATAACTGAATAGAAGCCACATTCTTGGTGGACACATCCAGTTATTTCACCAGCAACAGTCTTAGACTGTTAAAGAAACTGATCCCACCCCTGTTGCTTTCTCATCTTTGTGACACCATCAGCTCCTCCAAAGAGCAGGTATTGGATCTGTTCTGCATAACTTAATGCCCACTATGAATCATCATCAAAATGAAAGAAGACAATTAATTAGTCTTCCTTTTGTTTCCTTTGCTTGGAATATTCAATTTTTATTTACAGATAATTCATGGCCTTCATTATGTGGAAAAAGGTACTGTACTTTTGAAAATATATCAGAGTCTAACTACAGCTAAGCTTAACAGCTAGGTAGACTTCTTTCTAGAGGATATACTCTCTGAAGAAAACCTTCAGCCCTGTAGAAAAGCATCTGAGATTTTTTTTTTCTCTATTTCAACAAATATCCACACTGAGGTGAGCTTTAGAAATCCAGAAGAAAACAGTGAAAGCTGTGAGCTGCATGTAATGTTGGGTCCACAGGTTCAGGACTTCATTGTGCAGATGGGCACAACAATGACAAGAATGACCGTGCATGCAGCCGCAGTGATGAGAGCAGCAATCTTGCAGACCTTGGCTCGTCGGAATTCAGCTTCTTTTCGTTTTAGCAATGAATCATAGCCTGGAGTATAAATATCTTCCATCCAGTATTCTAAGTTGTTTGGGTTTAAAGATTCTTGAGTCTAAAAGTAAAGAGATGTTAGAAATACAGTTAATACTTGAGACCAGGCCCAAGACATCCTGACGATTTCCACTCCTGGAACATTTAAAAGTTATCTGCAGTTGGTAGCTAGCAATGCCAGCATCATAAGATGCTTTCCCACCAGGCCTATGCCAGAGAATGACTTCTAGGGACCCATCCATACATCGTGGACTGCACTGGCTCCTCCCTCACTAAAACTAGCACAAAACTCATAGGTCATCTCTGTATAAATCAGCAAAATGGCTGAGACAAGACTCAACTTTAAGGGCATGTGACCAAGAGTAGGTTAGCTCCACTGTAAGGGAAGCAAGAAAAGTCATTGAAAAATAATCTCTACCAGAACCTTCTGTAAACAAGATTGTCTTATCATTTCTAGTCAGCTCATTTCTCAGAACTTCTACTAAAAGTCAAAGGCACCTCTAGTTCAATCAAAATGTAAAATATTCCCATTTCAAGCATTTGCATAAGCAGGTTAGAACACTGTTCAAAATAAAGGACTGCAGACCCATGGCCGACTGTCCCCACCCTGGGCCTGTGTTGCTGATAATTCTAGACTAAGTGACACTTTCCCACAAAATCAGCTCCTACAACAAATGCCTACTGCAGATTAATGCATTGTTTGCAGAGGAAGTATCATATTTAACCTACATTTCCCATGGACTCCATTGCACGTCGATGGCTAAAATCTATTTCCATGAAGCAGAGCTATGGTCTTGTTTTATGATAAGCATTTAATAACGTGACATCAAAAAAGCAACAGCACATTACAGTCTCAAGCAAGGCCACCTAAATCTCTAAATCACAGCCCAACACCTATTGTGAGAAGGGTTCTTAGACTGTTTATGTTTTATAAACACTAGCACATTAAATTTATACACACAGGATTAAAAACAAAAGCAAATCCCGTGCCTACAGAACTGAGAAACCTCAACTGTGGCACACTATTGCTGGAGTAGCCATGCCTCTAAAACATGCTCAGTGTTTCCCACCCACCCTATCTAGAGATAGTTCCTTCAGCCCCTTGCTCTGCACCACAGTGTGTGATCAGTCAAAAGGAACAAGAGGAGAGAACGGTAAAGCGATGGTTTTCCCAGGGTTCCTCCTGCTGGGTTCTAGCCTGCCAACAGCTAGGAACCCACCAGACTCTAACTTCCACAGCTTTCTGCCCTTGGACCTTCAGTCCCAAGAAAGGCAACAGCTCCTTTCTCCCTTCTTCCCTTCTGTCTGCTCTCTCTGGGTGTTTCACTGGCCATTGCTGGCCCTTAACCTGCTCACACCACAGTGAACACTCCTCTTTCCCAGCAGCTCTTCCCATCATCCCTTTGGGCATGCCATCTGCTTCCTGCAGAATGCTGACAACTCACTGCCATTCAATAGCAAGATTTCATCCACCAGGCGGTGGTGGCACACGCCTTTAATCCCAGCACTCGGCAGGCAGAGGCAGGCGGATCTCTGTGAGTTCGAGGCCAGCCTGGTCTACAAGAGCTAGTTCCAGGACAGGAACCAAAAAGCTACGGAGAAACCCTGTCTCGAAATATTAAAAATAAATAAATAAATAAAAAAGATTTCATCCCTCCTGTTGATAACTACCATATATTTGAGGGAGGGGTCGACAGACTGTGGCCTGCAGGCCAGTTCCGGCTGGCCATCGGGATCTGTACAGTCCTCCAACTCTGAATGATTTTTCTATTTTGAAATAATTTAAGTAATTCAAATGAAGACAATATTTGGTGGCATGTAAAGACTGTGTGAAGTGTTAACTTTGATGGCACAAAGTCAGATTATCAGAATCATTCACAAATCATCTGGAGCCACTCTGGTGCTGCAGTGGGGAGGAGGGGCAGGATGGACAACCATGAACAGTGGCTGGAGAAAAGAACTTAGCATGCCTGGCTTCAACACAGCTTATAAATTTTGCAAGCCATATAGAAGGGCAGAAGGCAGTGCTGGCCACCCATGATATCCCTAATATAAACCAGATGTTTATGTTCTTGATGTGGGGAAAAGCCTGTAAATGTCCTTGTAAGAAACCCCTAGGACCTAGTGTCCACTGCTGGAGTCGAGCAGCCTCTCCCTGGAACTGATCTAAACACCACTACTTAGAACTATAGTGCCCCCACACACACATGCACGCAAATACACCCATGTACAAACACAGGCTTTCAGATGTCCATGCATATGTGCAACATGCACACACAATTCATATGCAAGTGTATATATATATATCAACACATATGCACACACACAGACTCTTGCACACACACACACACACACACACACACACACAGAGCTCTGCTCTCCATAGACACAGTTGGGCCCCACTTGCTCTCCCTGACATGAAAATCCTTCCGCAGATGAATGTGCATTCAATAAGGAAGAGAGGGATCCAAAGATGGGCCTGTTTTGCTGGAATACTGACCTGTCACGTGAATGATGTGCCCACGAAGATTAGGTTTGGGTGGAAGGCTAGACTAACAGCCTTCCATGCCCTATAGCCTTGAAGACAAACTCTGGTCATTATGTCCAAAATTAGCTGCTCTTTCCCCCGATTTCCCAGGGCTGGTGCAGGAGAGAAGCGGCACACACAGGGAGCAGAGATTGGGGGCTTTGGTCCCTCCATCTCAGAACAAGGCGATAAGCCTCCTCTCACAGCTCTCTGCACTTTGTTATGGGCTAAGAGTCTGCCTCAGAAATAAACTATTTTAATTAGTTTTGTTTTCAATAACGTCAAGCTGTAATGGCACCACAGCACAAAGAGGTAATACCCAGATTCCCAGGGACACCGCACATAGACTCACTTGTAATTAGGCCTGCCAAATGATGAAAATAAAGCCAGGCCTACACCAGTGCCTACCCCCTCGGTGGGTATCATTAATGCATTTATATATGAACAAAAATGGGCCCCAAGTAACCTGTTCCAAAGCTAACCTGGAACAGCACTCCAATCTCTGCAAAGCAATGCAAACAGATAAGCTGGTGACTGCTCCACCTGCCCCGATGTCTGCCCTGCTCTTCTGCCAACGCATCAGCGGGCAGTGAGCTCTATCCCTTCAGTATGTGCTGTTGGATACTCTGACCTTCCGTTGTTAAGCAGAGTTACCCAAAGCTCTGTAACCCAAATGTCTGTTGCTATTTTATGCTAATCTTATGGTTATTCTTTAAAACCCTGGCACATTCAAACTGCATGCTGTCTCTCCCTAAACTTGCAAAATCTGTTTTCAAGGTCGCTTCCAGGGCATGGTGAAATATTGGTTATTACAACCTATTGAGCCGTTTCTAATTCTGAGCGTTTTCTGGCTGGTAGGTTATGATAACCTAGGCACGCTGACCAAGGGGGGCCACGTATAGCAAAGTTGCACCGAGGTCTGCTTGTGGGAGACTCGAGTCATGATCTAGCCTATTTATCATCAGGAAGATGACAGGGAAGGGAGCGGCCCAAAGTGATAAGTGGCGTGTGGTATGCACGGGGAATATTATTACAAGTGTAGAAGGGTCTGGGGAGAGTTTAGGGTGTTCCTGAACTTGCTTGAATTGCTACCATTTAAGTTCCCAGATATACAAGTGTGATTATATTCCTTTTGTCTGAGATTAAGTTCTGTTAAACTCCCAGCAATAGCAAAGGGAAATGCTACATAGGAAAGAGAAGAGGAAGAACAAGAGGAGACTTATTATCCAATGGTCCAGTACAGATCCAGACCTGTCTGACCTGGGCCAACTCACTGGGCTTCCTGCTTCCATTGTTTCCTGGTTTATAAACTGGAGATGGTCAGAGCAATGCCTGTCTCACAGGCAACTGTGCCTGGAACTAAGAGATGGATGTGAAATGTACCATGTACACTGACTGACTGCAGCATCCTCAACCAGCTCCTGAGTGTCACCCTCTCAGTGCCAATCAGTGCCAGGTTCTTTATGTATATTACGTTCAGTTCTCACAACAATGCCATATTAAGGTGGATATTTTTATGCCCGTTTCACAGGTGAGATGATCGCAGCTAAAGCAGGTGAAATAAGTGCTCCACGTCACAATGTGTTGTTAAGAAGCTTTGGATTAAGTTCTGGTGCTGTTCAAACCCGTTGCCTTTTCTCTGTCGCATGCTGTACCTCCCACACCACCCTTGTTTAGAGAAAGGCCATGGCATAAGAGCTTTGCCATCATGGGCCTCCAGACAGCTCTCACCATCCATGCTTCAAATGCCCAGGCTGTCGGGAGACAGCGCATTCCTTTGGTGCTATGGCCTCTCTCTCCACACAGTTTAGCCCACGGGTGGCCACAAGGATTCCTTTGCAGGGGTGTGGAAACATAGACAGACGTGCTGTGAATGGAATTGAGCTGCCCACCAAAATAAAAGTGCAACCAAAACCCAGCCCTGTGGTAGGTGAACAAAAAAGCATGCCCTCTAGCCATAATGGCATTCATAGACCTTCCAGGAATGGCTCTTACCTGGGGTGGCTCCATATGGAAACATAATCCATAGCTTGGCTCCCACAAACATGCTTATCCCACGTGCTACATATGGAAGGAGAAATCAGCTTGTGTATCATTAAACAGTTTGGCTCAGGTCTTGTGAGCAAAGATTAGAATTTGCACTTGATTTTAAATGCATCATTAGCAAATCAGATGGCCAACATATCTATAAAGCAAGCACCCTCGTTGTTAAATACTTAGAAACAAATCCGCAAGGTGTAAAACCCCTTGTTTAAAACAGCAACGAAAAAGACCACTCTCCTCTCTGGTTTATTAACTTTAAGAATGCTACAGCAAGGAACCAAGGAGTGTTTGAAGGTTGAGGGAGCGGCCAGATTTAAGTCATCCACACAGCCCACGACAGGGCTCCTCCCACCCAGAAACAATGAGTCTCACCTGCAGGTCCAGGGCTGTCAACTTGCCCTTGTCACCAGAGTTCCGAGCATACTCCTCTATGGTCCAAGAAGGCTGGCCCCGCTTAACCTCAGCCAGCTCAGTCAGCCGCATGTCTGTGTACAGGGGGTTGCTCTTCATGTGGGCCTTGAGGGAGGTGGGATAAGGATGTGGACTGAATACTTGCTCTACCAGGAAGCCATCTTTGGGCTGCTTGGGCAGTCGGTGCTGTGGGGGAATGTCATACTGCCGGTCTGCCTGTAGGGAAGCACAGAAACATCCAGAAAAGCCACAGAGATGCCGTGAGGTCTCACAGTACCTTTGAGCAGCCAGTCAACTTTTTATCAATGAGATCCTAGTAGACACCCAGACAGGAACATGAGTTTACTTGTGAACCCATACAAAGTCTTCCTGTTTGGGGAGAGATCCTCTAAAGAGAGCTTCTGATCCTGACAGTGCTAGGAAGAGCAGATGTTCCCACATCTAGAGAAGTTCCTATGATCTGGTCCTTACATCATCCTCACCACAATTGGCTCCTCTTGTACAGTCAGATAATGGAGCTCAGAAAGACTCAATTATTTGTATGAGAACACACAGAAAAGCACGGTTTTAAACCTAATCAACTAGTTTTCGAGCCTTTGATTGGCTCTTGTATGTTACTGACCCTTCTTTTCTGTCCCTCTTCATACTGAGACTCAATGAGTGAAAGACACAGGCCATTCTGCAGGGAATTGCTTGAAAGTTCTGCTGAGAGCCTACCTTGACAGACAGAAGCCAAGCTGGAAACCCCACACAGAGAGTCTCTAGTGACTGTCCGTGGTGGCACACAGCCCTTTCAAACAAATCAGTACAGCACCAAAGATAAAGGAGCAGCTTGGGCAGCAGCGTGGAGGTGGGAGTGTCTGAAAGGGCCTGATGTCAATTATGTCCACAAGCCTTGAGACACATCACAGGCTATTCTATTCCCAGTGAGCCTGTAAGAGCAGGGCCTCTGATCTTTTTAACATCCACCTGGAGGCCACCGGTTTTTCACACAGATGACCCTCCAGCTAGTACTCCCTCACAGATGGGATGGGGTGGATCTCTGTGATCTTGGAAGGTTGCGTACAGACCCTTCGGCTAGAGCTTGCCACACTAAACTGTACCTGCTTATCTGCCAGCCTGCCTTCCCCACTGAACTGAGTTTCTCCAAGGCAGGGAATAACTTGTTTGTCCTTTAATCATGGCCCCAGCAAAAATGGTACTAATAAATAGGACACTCCATCAGGATTTGTCTAAAGGATAGAAACCAATGATATGGCCCTAAGGTATGAGAAAGAAAGCAAAGCATTCAATATGAAATAACGGAAAAAGGAAAAGAAGAGTGTGAGGGGAGGTCATGTGACAAGCGAACACATGATGAGCACATGTGGGTGGCTGTGAGTGGTGCGTATCATACACCTGAATGTGGGCTAAAAGCATATACCAGCACACCTGATCCACTGGCTCATGCCCAGAAGTGATGTTGCTCAGATATTCAAAACCTTGGAGGCTACCGACATGGAAGAGTAAATCAAGCAACATGGGCTTCCTTCTTGTTTTCTAACTCTTCAAGGCCACTAATTTTCTAAGAGGCTCCATTGGCTTTATTTATTCTGCTCATGTCTTATTCCCCAGTCCTAATGTAAGCAGATCTTGCACAAAGCAGGGGATGGCAGAAATCCCCATGACGATAACCTTGTGGTAGCCATTGGGCTGGCTGTCTATCCACCTCTCTGCCTGGTGCTAGGCTGCAGCACTTCATAGCATCTTCTCATTAACATTTCAACATCACAACTGAAATTCTCCCCACTGTGGATGTGCAAGATCAGGTGAGAGAGGCTAAGAGGGAGACCATATGCTTCACAGACCCAGGGTTTGAACCATTTCATACTTCTAAGAACATCTCATTGAGGCCCAGGCTTGTTCCTACTACAGATGAGTTTATACTCTAAGATGGTAGTCTGGTGTGGGACAATGACCTATATTCTATCAATTATATTTTAAATAAATGCTGATTGGCCAGTAGCCAGGCAGGAAGTATAGGCAGGACAATCAGACAGGAAGTAGAGGCGGGTCAATGAGAACAGAGAATTCTGGGAAGAAGAAAGCTTGGTCCTCAGTCGTTGTGACCCATCCACAGAAGAAGCAAGAGGTGACTGCCTCACTAAAAAAGGTACTAAGCCATGTGGCTAACACAGACAAGAATAATGGGTGAATATAAATTATAAGAGTTAATAAGAAGCCTGAGCTAATGGTCCAATCAGTTTATAACTAATATATACCTCTGGGTGATTTCTTTGGGACTTAATGATTTCCAGAACCGGGCAGGACAGAAACCCTGACAAGAGTAGTCAGTATGTATATACATAATCTATGTTTCAGTAAATGTTTTTGCCCAGTACATCTGAACAAAAAGAACTGAAAGCTAGAGGTAAGAAATGGGCAGCAATCCCTGTAGACATGTCAAGAGAGGTGTGAACGAGGAGGCCTTGAGGGGTGCGCAGAACCCAGAGGCCTGATAATGCACACATCAGCATCAGTCATTCTCATCTTATTCTAAGCACAGAGAAAACGTGTCAGACAATCTTGATGTATGAATTATGTCTGATCATATGACAAGGTCTGGCATAGACCTAATCACATGGGAAGTAGAAAAAGACAAGATCTCCTGAGCATGGGAGCATGGGGACCTTGGGGAAGGGTTAAAGGGAAGGCGAGAAGCAAGGAAGGTAGCAGAGAAAAATGTAGAGCTCAATAATAATCATGAATAAATAATAAATAATTACTAATGTATTTGCTAATTAGGTGACTGAGTGGATAACCATGGCATTCTTGAGGAAATACAAGTGTACTCATCAAGTCAGAACAGGCTTTGGGATAAAATACAGCAGTTTGATTAGAAAGAAGTATGTGAAATTCAGGCTCAGTGGGTAAAGGCATTTGCCAACCAAGCCTGATGTCTGAAGTTTGATCCCTAGGACCTAACATGGTAGGCAAAAAGAATCAATTCTTACATTTTGTCCTCTGACCTCCACATGTGCATGAACACACAGAGACACACACACACCTAAGAAAAAAATACAAAAGCCTGGGTAAGAACTTGGAGACTTTTTGCTAAAGCGAAGAAGATCTGCAGGGGATTTTGAAACAAGAGACACTGCACACCTGTAGATGGCAATTTTAGAGCAACAAATACAGAAGTAGCCCATGAGATAAGGTAGGACGTGGAGGGGTGGGTCCCTAGGCCCCATGTAGGATGTGAAAGCTGGAATAGAGGATACCAAAGGTCAAACAAGGCAAAGATGAAAGAGACATCACAAAAAGTAAATATATGGAAGCTGAAGCTAAAGTGGGCATGTGTGAGCCATAGTTCCTGGGGAGCTCGTCAGCTGGGACAACTGCTGGGGTGGTGGCCATTCCCCAAAGCAGTAACAAAGAAGAAACACTAGCTACAAAATAATAGAATATCTAATCTTAGACAAGAGGATTTTTGACCTAGGCATGGTGACAAGACATTTGGAGGATCTGGCTTTCAGCAATTTCTGACACTGGACCAAAGCTGGAACAGTAACCAAAGCTGGTTAACCCAACCAGGATCATTAGCAAGAAGTGACAAATGCCAAGAAGAAAAGTCACAGTGAAAATAGCCACACAGTTCAGAGGGCTTACTTCAAACAGTAGCAGTTTAATGTGGGGCTTTCCAAGTAGATTGTATCTAAGGTTGCAACTAGTCCTGGTGGTTTGGTAAAGTATTGGCACTTTACAGATTGGAGGTCAGGCTCATTCACTTTGGATTGGTAATACTACGAAGGACCTAACCATGTAAGTCCTCTAATGACCATCATTTTTTAATGTTATATAGGAACCTGAGCTCCAGAAATCTAGCTTCAACCTTGTGTCCAAAGCAAGCAGTTTAGGGAAAAGAGCACCATGGGACACAAGGGGCTCTTTGGGGATTAGGGAAAAAAAATGTCCCTTCAATTTTCTTTCCCCTCATTCTGGATCTTGACTTCATGGCCATTTTTTGCAAATTTGTCCTTCTTGACATCACTTGGGAAAACCATACCTCACCTCTTCTTCGGCTCAGCACCCTTGAAGCCCTTCCTACTACTCCCTCCCCTGACAGTCCAGCCCTCAGAGTCCCCGGGAGGGAAGGTCATGGCCTCATAGAAGCAGAGAATGTCATGAAGACAAGCTGCACAATGAGAGTGCCTTAGTCTGGCATAGACACTGGAACCCATCTAGAGTGAGGGATCAAATGCACGCCTCCTGGAACAGGTCCCTTCACTGCAATAGAGAAAAGGGAAGCATTTGAACACATGCCTACATGGATTCCAGTGTTGGTCGGGGGGAAGGACTGTGACAAATGGTCAAAAATAACACTCACATGAGAAGTGTGGAACACCTATTACGTATGAAGAAGAGACAACTAAAGAGGAGAAAAAGACTGTTTTTGATTGGCTGTTTTTCCATGGTGGAACAATGACGTTGTTTCCTTATTCTTTGTAGCCAACTATTTATCTTACAGTGAAAAGACTCATGTTTTCAAAAGTAGCATCATGCATGCAACCAAATCCATACAAGAGACCCAGCAACAAGGACACTGGCAAGCCTCTTCCCTTGCTTGCCTGGTGCAGATCCCACGACTTCAGCAAGGACGGGAAGATAACCTTGGTGAGGCTTGCCCGCCTTGATGCACTCCCCCTTTCGTGAAATCCTTCTCACACCACCTGTCCAACATCCTAACCGCCCTGTTTACTGTTGGCAGGAGGACAGCGGGAGCTCCACTCAACTGACTGGCACCTTGGCAGGACAAACAGCCTGCCCATGTTGCCCTCTCTGTTCTAATGCGCAGAGCCTGCCAGTTCTGGAAGGGGAACCAGCAATGCACAGCTACCAGCATGGAATGTCTGAGGCTGTGGCAATGCTGAGACCAATCACGAGAACTTAAATTTCCATTACCTCCTTAGATTTCCGATGCCAGTCTTTGTTATCCCTCGGGCCCGCATCTTTGATCTCCTCTTCGTTGAGGCTCATGCGGTTGGTGTAAGTGATGGTTCGCCAGTCTCTGGGGGAGTTGGAGATGCTGGCAATTTTGGACTCTGTGGCACTGTTCTCCTCAGTCAGGGACCTGGAAGATGGCCTGGTAAAGAGGCTTTTCTTTAAGGCCTTGACTCGCAGGCTTTCACTGTTGCTTCCGCTGGCGTCGGAGCAGCACCAGTCGGGGCTGTTCTCCAGTTTGGGCCCGTGGGAGCCACTGTGTGCACGGAAGACCCTCGGAGAGGCACTGTCATCAGAAGGTGCCTCACTGGTCAAGGAATTCAAGTCAATCTGCACGTTCACTTTCTCCGGCTGCTGTATTTTCTGATCCAGTTTATTGAGCTTTCCAAGGACCTGGGAGATTTCCTCACGGACCCCTGACAGCGATTCCAGCTTCCGCTCGATCTCACCAATCCTGAGAACCAGTTTGCATACACTGGTCTTCAACTCTTCTTCAGAATGGTGGACATTTTCAGGCCGGTTACACTTGTCTCCCTTGCTGCTGGAGGCTCCACTGGTGATTTTGGCGAGGTTATGCTCTGGGGAACTGTCACAGTCTGACTTGTGAAGCTGAGACAAGGAGCCGGTGCTATTGTAGCAGGATGACTGTATCACTCCTGTGGAGCCATTGATGCTCATGTCATCAAGAAACCGGAAAATGTCACTGATGTCGTCGCTGACAATTTCCGAGTCGTCATCCGAGTGTTTCATGGTATGTCTGTCACTGTATTTGGCCTGGCCCAGAGTACACAAGTCCTTACATTTTGGGGCCTCCAGCACATGCTGCTCCGTCTGGGTACCCACACTGCTGGTGTCTGAGCTGTGCTGCCCACTGGTGCAGCTGATGCTCTTCTCTTTAAACTTTTTGGCTGCTTCGTGCTTCTCCAGGTCAACAGGGGATGAGATTTCTTTAGATTTGAGTCCATTCGGTTTCACTGCATAGCCAGCAGGGAGAACTTTCTGTTGATCCTTTGGCACCAGGTAAGTTGGATGCCTATCTGGGCCTGAGAAGTTGGGGGTCTGGCTGCCAGAATTTGGATAGCGTAGCTTCTCCTCAGAGGGATTTCTATTGAAAAAGGACCGTTCAAAGTCAGGCACTTCCTCCGTGTTTAGGCTCCAGCTTTTGGCGGGCCATGGAGTCTGTTTGCTGGACCTTCCTGGACAGCGCCTAGCATCTTGTGTTCCCATTACTGGGGTGGGTCCAAAATAGGTAGAGGCTTGAAGGTCATCTAAGCTTTCGTGCTTTGCCCGCCTTTTGTCAGGAATTGGGGAGTACACTGGATTCAGGTACTGATTGTGGTAAGGCATCTCAAAGCTGTGGTTAAAGAAGGGTGGCTTGTGGAGCTCCTTCTGACTCTGGGTCTCCCCACGATCCCCCTCAGCTTTGTTAGTGGGACCCACAAAACTGGGGGATACAGTCATGAGATTGTGGAACTCTTCTTTGAAGATGTTCCTTTTCTGAACACAGGACTGAACCACAAATGGTTCCTCGCTGGAGATGAAGGTCTCCTTGATGCCTTGGCTGATGGACAGCGAGTCCTGATCTGAAATGGACTCATTCTCGATATTCATGGGGAAATAGGTCCTCTGCATCTCACAAGGCTGGGGGCTGGCCACAGAATACGGGGAGAGGGCTTGTAGCCTATCCAGAGATGCTGCCCGGTTTTTCACCTCTTTGCTGACACCCAAGAGGAAGTTGGGCTCAGAGGCAGGGACAAACTGTGGACATTCCTTACAGTCCCTCTTCCGGCATTTGGACGATTGCCTGGTGGGGTAGCCTCGGCTGAAGGGCCTCTCACCTAGCTCACAGTTCATAGGCTCACAGACTGTCGGATTGCACACCTCGGTGTCCGACCTGCAAGATTCAAAGGATGCCTCCTTCTTGCGTACCTTGGGGCAACTTGTGGGTAGCTTCTCCTTGGCTGTGCCGCCATTCATTTGAATCAGGTTGAAGATGGTCACGATATCTGCTGCCACCATGATCTTCTTTGACTGCTGATTGTTTACAGAGCATTTCATCTTGTCTTTGAATAAGGTGGCTGGAAAGTTGGGGTCGAGACACGCGGTGTAGAAAAGCACGCTTCTCAGTTTGGCAAGCTGCGACAGATCAAACTGAGCACATAGTGACTTGCACAGTTCTTGATAGGAAACAGTATTTTGCTTACTGTCCAGTTCTTCTAAGATCTTCACCAAAAAGAGAGACACTTCCTGATTGGTCTCCATGATTTAGAATTTGCAAGCGCACTGACTACACTGGAATATCAGTCAGTTCTATAGTAACGACAGCAGAAGAGAAAGCAGGAGAGACAGTTAGAAACAGTGGGAGAGTTCTGAGTCCAGACTTTTCTGCGCCATTAAAAAAAAAAAAACACAAAAACAAACAAACAAAAATTAAAAAAAAAAACAAGAAAAACATTTTAATGACTAAAAATGTCTCAGGGCTTTAAAATCTTACATTTGATTTAGCAATTCCTTTCCTAGGAATCTACTTCAAAGAACCAATGAAAATTAGACACAACGATCTTCCCTACAAGATATTCATAATAGCAAAGAAGTCATAAGAAATACATAAATAAAACAAGTTATAATACAAAACGAGCTTTCCTGGACATAAAACTTCATAAATGTACATTCTTATAATGCAACGTTATTAGTTTAGAAAAAGAACAAACTGCTAGGATGTGCAATGCGAATAAAGCATGAGAAAAAGAAGCCAGAGTCAAAAGACTACACATTGTACTATATGATTCTATTTTATTTCCACTCTGAAATATACATCAGTAGTGGGGAGCATGGGGAAATCATCTAGATCAATAGTCTATATCTTGTAGTTGTGTTTGCAAAATACATCCATCAAGTGCATAGAATTATACACTTGAAAGTGTGAATTGTACTGCATATAAAGGATGCTTTAACTTAAAAATTATCCAAAACTTTTATGATAAAAGTAAGATACACTACTGAGTAAAAAATATGAAATGAAATCTGCATAGAGTAAGACCTTCATGATGTGCAATCATGTATTCCTAAAAACCAAAATGAAAGAAGATGATGTGTACTCAAATGTAAATAGTAGTTAAGTTTGAGTTTTAAATATGGATTGCTCTCTGAAACAGTACTCTCTTTAGCTCCATATTTTATCATGCAAATTTTCAGAGCTATAGCAAAGTTGAAGGAATATTATCACAAACACTCATGTATCCACCATCTGGATCTTACCATTAATGGTTTACTATATTTGGTTGATAACATATCTATCCATAATCAAGCCACCTGATTTTTATACACTTTAAAGTAACTTGAAAGCATCTATGCACTTACCCCTAAGTAATTTATAATGCACATCACTTTTGCAAGTCCAATGGTTATTTTGATTTTGATTTTTCTATAAACTTTGCATACAATGAAGGACACAAACATTAACAGTACCTTGTCTGGTTTTGGCAAATATATATATGCCTATGTAGTAACCAATGTTTATATAAACCATATAACTATATAACCAATGCCTATATAAAAATCTAGAATGTTTCCCCTTTCTTCTCCCATAAACTCCCTAATACTGTTTTTATTTTATAGACTTTTATTTTTCTTAATAATTTTTTATCTTTTCTAAAGTTCCTACAATGAGCAAATACTATGCAATCATCAAACAATAATAACCATAAATCTGGCTTTGGCCAGCCAAGCCTGCAGAGGACTCCCTGGACAGGAGCCGCTGCAGTCCCTCTGCAGGCTGTGCGAAGAGAGCATCTTTCAGCCAGCCACACGCTGGAGCTTGTCTCTAGCCCTAAATGCCAAGCAAAAATGGCCTGCAAACTTCCCCTGAGGGAAAAGCCACCCCTGAGCCTCAGCATCTGATGTCAATTGCTAGGGAGGCCAGGGAGGCCAGAAAGGCCATTCTAGACAGTCTGCAGGACAAGGCATTCTTTGCTGGCATTTTGTTGAGCATATTCTTTGCTTATTATCTGTTGTTTCTGCTGTGTTTGTAATGGTTGCATTAGTGTGGACTGTCCCATTTTTTTCTCCCCACCCTGATAGCTGCCTTTTTCTCCCCACCTTGATAGCTGCCCTGTAAGAGACCTCGAGTAGATCCTGAGTGAACCGGGCTTCTCAAACCAGCCACAGGCCACATCAGTGGTTTCCCGAGAGGGGGGGAGAAAGTTCCAGCCTTCCCACCCAAGGGTCCACTGACAGATGGAGACCCTCCTCACCACATGCAGCCACCCCGTGGATGCCTGTCATCAGCGCATTAAATTCAACTGGAGAGGGAGGAGAAATGGGAAAGAATCCCAGCATGAACTAAACTGAAATAAAAAAAATTAAAAATCAAATAGGATTTCTATAAGAAAACTTCACATGGATTAGCGTAGGCACCACCGCTTCTGAAATTTAAAATACATAGTCTCACCCACTGTGTGTTCTCCTGTGCACATGATGCTTTGAAGAGGCCCACTGAAGCCCTTTCTGTACCACCTACTGCCCCGTGTGATCGCAGCACCCACCAGGCAGAAGCAGGAGGATTGCTGCTAGTTCCAGGCCATCCTGGTCTACATAGTGAGCTCCAGTCCAGCCTAACTCTGTCTCCAGAACACTAGACATATTTTAATTGCCATTGATTTTTAAATTGGCACAGTCCTGAAAGGTCTAGCTCATTCTCCACAAAACCAATTAATTTCCTCGGACAATATTTCAATAGTGGAAGGCTGCAGGCTCTTTTTCCATCCTGAGGGCAGCTGGTCCTAATAGGCTTTTCTAAATCTTAGTATGGTCCCTGCCATAAATGTCTGGAGACTTGTGGCTAGCCCTTACTTCTCATAGTAAAAGGAAATAAAGTTTAGCAGGTTCTGTTCCTGCCGGGAAGGAACAAGCCACCAGGAGACAGACTTCGCCCACACAGTGCCTCTGCCCTGCCCCAGCCCTCGCTTCCCTCGGATGAAAACATTCTGTGTCAGGATGTTCTAGCTTGCTAGAGGCGAGGACAACCTGTCACGCTTGGTCTTGAAGTAAATAAATGGGTGTAGCTATCAGAGCATAGGACAAATGAATGTAATTTAGAGAATAGCGTGCACCAAATGCATGTCGTATTTTATGGATTTGGTGGCACAAATCGCATTCATAGCAATTTTTTACTTTAATCCCTATAACCACCTTAAAAAAACCTCTTTTGCTTTCACAATTGCTCTCTGACAGATGAGGAAATGGGACCAGGGAACTTAAAGGACTGTGGCAACTGAGAGCGATAAGACCCAAATCCAGGACTGCTGAGCTGAGCTTACTCCATGTCCACCATGTACCTCCCAGGAAAGCCCCAAGATATGACTACCCAGATAGGCCTTCTCAGTCCTCACTGTTGCTTTATTTGGCAGAAATATATTCCTGAAATATCTATTTGCAAAAATCTATTTACAAAACTAAGACTCATCGTCTCCTGATGGAAGGATAAATGCTATGGGTAAAGCTGCATTATTTAATTATATTATTATTATTATCATTAAAACTAACCACAGTGGGCTAGGGAGATATCTCAGTAGTAAACTGTTTGCTGAGAAAACATAACCATCTGAGTTTGGATCTCTAATATCCACACAAAAAAGCCAGGTACTGCAGTATACAACTGCATCCCAAGCACTGGAGTTAGGAAGCAGGAGATGAACAGATCCCTGGAGCTCATTGGCCAGCCAGCCTAGACCAGTCAGTGAGCTCAAGGTTCAGGGAGAGACCCCATCTCAAAAAATAAGGTGGAGAGATAATAGAGATCGCCCGATGCCAGCAATGTGTATCTACGTATTTTGTGGTTCGTTTTATGTCACCTTGACACAAACTAGAGTCATAAACAACATTCCTCCGTGACCTCTGCTTCAGTTCCCACTGCCAGGTTCCCTCCTCAAACTATTTCCCTGACTCCCTCTCATGCTGGACTATGCTGTAAGAGGAAATAAATGCTTTCCTCACTGAGTTGCTTTTGGTTGTGATATTTTATCACAGCAACAGAAAGCAAAGTAGAACCCATGTGCATGTACCCACATGAACACATACACCACACACAACTGGCACTAGAAGCCTAGGGATGGAAACAGGTGCACAGACTTTGGGATGATCCAACATTAGAGAAGCTGTAAGGTTGGCTACGTAACTCCCAGATACCCGGAGAGCAGCAGGAGTGAAGTGGAAATGTGCTGACCATGAACGCCCAGGCTCTTTGGGTAATAACAGGAGCCAGTGTGCACTGTGAAGCCTCAGACAGGCTATGTACCACAGAAACAACTCTACGGAGTAGGAAGAGCATCCTCAGTTACAGAGAAGGAAACAAAGGAACTGACTAACAAGTACCACGCTAACCCGAGAAAATGCCCAAGTTGCCTGATGTCCAATAATGAACGAGTGGCCCAAAGCCTTTTGCCACTTGCCAGACTCAACCTTGTATTAAAGGGAGCAAATATGTCCATATGCAATGAAGTAGAGGGAAGAGGACTCTCCTGAGTAGACTGATGTAGCTACCATGTGGCATCAAGTTTGAAAATTGACTCCATTCTGTATAAAGAGAAAGACAGCTTGCCTGCAGCACAATTTGGGCCTCCCTATTTTTTTTCATTTCCAAGTTCTTTAAAGTCTTCTAATTTCCCACTGTAGAAAACTCCATCCTCAATCACACACTTCCAGGGACCTTCATTAGTCCCATGAGTTACTGCCTCTGCCTAGATTACACTTCTCCTCAGAGAGAAAATAACAAGCTGGCTGTGGGACTCATTATTCAACTCTTATTAAATAGGAAGGAAGATCATAAACTCATTCCTTAGGGAAGTTCTGAGAACCAAAGGTGAAGTTTCCACTCAGAGTCAATGGAAATGTCTTCTCAATTCTCAAGCCATGTGACTCCCAAGCCAGACTTCTCCCTGATCATTGCTACTCTGTACCCACCCCAGGCACTGGTCTCTCATCTGCAATCATTCATCTCTATAGTTCCTTTTTCTGGGGCTGGAGAATGGCACAATTGATAAAGCACTTATAGCATAAACATGCAGAGCCAGGCTCAATCTCCAGAACCCACAGTTTTTCAGTGACAGGCACAGAGCTATATGTCCATCATCCCACTGCTAAGGAAGCAGAGACAGGTAGATTCCTGGGGCTGGCCAGTCTGTCTCACCAAAGATGTGAGCTCCAAATTCACTGAGAGTCCCTATTTCAAAAAGTAAGGTAAAGAGCAGTCGACAATTTTTGTAGCTCCTGGGTCTCCACATGAATGTATATTACACACAAAACCACAAAAA